TTATCAAACACAAGAAGCTATGAAACCAGTTATACCCCTGTTTCCTCAAAAGAGAACTCCTACCGGTATAGAAGTAGAATGTCTGCCAGTTCCTGAAACAAGTTTGAATTTGAGTGATAGTTTACTGTTTGACAGTTTCAGTGAAGACGACCTCATAAAAGAACAACCACCTGATGTACGAGCAAAAGAACTTCCTTTGGAAATAGCTTCAGTCCATTTCAGTGATTCTCTGTGTTTCCAACCAGAGGGCCCAATTAAAAAATCAAATATGATTGAGAATCAAGATAATCAGCAGCCATTGTCTTGTTTCAGTGGTGGGTCCATTATATTTTCAGAAATAGATTCTGCTCAGATGGTTGAAGCTTTGGACAATGTAGATGTGTCTCCTGTCCAAGAGAAACATAATACTACAGTATCTCTTAGAATATTAGAACTGAGTGATCCAGTGATTGAAGGTAATGATTATCCCCAAAGAGAAGTAATTGGAGGAGTTAAAGATGAAAGGTCTCAAAAATCCAAATTAACTGGGATGAGACAAGAGAATTCATTTGTATGGTCAGGGGCATCATTTGATTTAAGTCCAGGACTGCAAAGGATTTTGGATCAAGTTCCCAGTCCTCTAGAAAATGAAAAGTTAAAATTAACCACTACAGACTTGTCACTTTTGAAAGGAAAAAATACAACTGTAAATGATAAACAAGAGTTGATTTCAAATTTGGAGCCAAATCAAGTGCAAGGAATTTCATTTTCCCCTAATATTGCAGTAAAAGGCAAAATTGGGGCACTAGAGAACAATGTCATTCATGGTGAAATCCCCTCCCTCTTGCCTTGTAAAGAAAGCTATATAGTTGATGATAATGGACTCATTCCTCCTACACCCATTCCAGCATCTGCTTCTAAGATGGCATTTCCAGGTATTGGAACATCTTCTGTGAAGCTCCAGAAAATCAGTAGTGTTTCACAACTTGATGAAAGTTACTTATTTTGTGCACCTTCAGATAATAAAAACCATGATTTAAGTCCAGAGAGAAATGGTTTAAAAGACAGCAGTCCCATCAGAGACACAAGCTTTTCACTGCAGCTATCACCGGATGGGTTGCAGCTAACTCCAGCCTCATGCAGTTCAGAAAGTTTGGCTATAATTGATGTAGCAAGTGACCAAACTCTGTTTCAAACATTCATTAAGGAGTGGCAGAGCAAAACTCGATTTTCCATCTCATTGGCTTGTGAAAAGATTAGTAATTTGACATCTTCTAAAACTACTACTATTGGTGGAAGGTTTAAACAAGGTAAGAATTAAAAATAAATTTCTACATTTATATGTAAAATAGTGGACTGAGATGGGATCAAGACTTTTCAGCATTGGATATTAAATATATTAAATTTGTTCAAAATTTAATAATTTTCTCTTATGTGAGTTTACATGTAGAACAGCCTTATTGTTCAGCACAACTAGATTAATAATAGCAACCCCCTGGTATAAGAGATGGGGGAACCTCAGGACATGTGGGTAGGAGAGCTGAGCAGTGAGGCCAAGAGCTCAAGCTGGGAGACTGAAAAAGTGCAGACTACTAGAACACTACTCATTCCCCTGGCACTGATCTACCATTGAACATGGGGTCTAATCAGGCTTGTGTCTGCCTCCTTTCAAGTAGGCCAGAGATCCCATCTACACAGCCTTTCTGTAGCAGCTCCTCATTCTAGGTAGCTCATTGAGAGTCCCATACCAGTGTTGTCTCCCTGGACACTGACTCAGCAGCCAAGCTTATTGCTGCTGGGAAAACCATAGTTGATATGGCCGGTTCAGAGGCCAGCCCTGGAACAGTGTTCCACAGCTTGATGCTTGGGTGTGCCAGGAACCTGCCTCTCAAACAGCAGGTCTTTTTCCTATGCCATTCTGGGCTTTGCCCTGTCTGATGCCACAGGGCTTTTCTATCTTATGGTTGTCTTCCTCCTCTTCACTTTTGAAGTCTCTGTGGAGGTTCCCTACACATCTTTGCTGCTTCAAATCCTGGCCGTATCTGGTGTTAGAGGGTGCTAAGCTTTAACATTGAACACAACATTTCTCTAAAAAAGAAATCTCATAGATATATATGTGTTATGTGTATGTTATAATGATAATATATATTAGAATGTAAGTTTGTGAAATTAAAGATGTATATTTTGAATATGAATCAGATTTTTTGGTATCTTTATGGTATGACATGGTTTTAATTTAATTAACTGAAGTATAGTTTATTTAGAATATTGGTTTCATGTGTACAACATAGTGATTCAATATTTTTATAGTTTATATTACATTTAATGTTGTTATAAAATAATGGGCATATTTTTCTGTGCTCTACAGTATATCCTTGTAGTTGATTTATTTTATACACAATAGTTTGTACCTCTTAATACCTTGCCTTTCCCCACAACCCTCTTCCTACCGGTAACCACTAGTTTATTCTATATATCCGTGAGTCTGTTTATATTTTGTTATATTCATTCATTTTATTTTTTAGGTTTCACATATAAATGATGACATACAGTGTTTGTCTATCTCTAACTTATTTCACTTAGCACAATACCTTCTAGGTCTATACATGCTGTTGCAAATGGCAGACGTGATGGTTTTTATTAATCATCATTGCTCATGAATTATTTTCTATTAAATTGTAATATCCGTATTTATTTATATAATCACAGAAGTGCATAGCAAACAGGCATTATATTTTTTCACGATCTATATTAGCTATATATTTTCCAACACTTACCTCAAGTAGAATTGTACCTGCGTTGATAGTCATGAATCATATTGAAATGTTGATCCCAAAGTTTCCCAAAGGACTCTCAAATTTTCAGAGAATTGAAACTTTTGGTTAAATAATGCCATATATTCTGGTCTTAACTTCATGACAGTAATGATTCTTTGTTATGGGGGGATAGCTGTAGTAGGCTTTATAACCTGTTGTGGAAATCAAGATTTGATCAGACTTCTTAAATATCTCTATCTTTGGATGAATTTGTTCTAAAGTTCTGAATGTTTGTCTGATCAGGAATCAGGAAGTACATGTGTTAAGGACAAGTTTTATGTACTTTCAGTGCTAGAGTTTAGAGGGATAAAAACATTCACTTAAATTTAATAAATATGTGCTGGTTTGTTTTCC